AAGAATTTGCGATTTGCACGATTTAGACATTTGAATAATTAATTGCATTCATATTTGACGTTACAACATAGCTCAACTTCTGCTTTTTGTTGGGACGTTCGTGTTTCTCAAAGTTAATTAATCTGCCGAGATTGATCAGATCCGTGGAATGCACAAACCATTTCATTCTTGCTGTCTCACCAATTCCCTCATTTTTGCCGAATGAACCGTCGAAAGTAAAGAGTAAGACGATGACATCATGTAAAGAACTGCACCACGTGATCATTATATTTTAATAACGTTTCCAGTCAAGCGAAGTCTCCAGTTTGCGTCTCTCTTGCTGAATTAATTGCTTTAGAAATCAATCAAAGTTTTTACTTGTTTTATTTTCGGATTTTTAAAGTTTTAGTTGAACACTCCCCCCTCCCCCTCCTTCTTCTCTTCCCTTCGCTGTATTATTTTCGAAATTCATTGGGGTGGAGGATAGCGAACCATAAGTGACAAAAGAAATGTTGCTTGGAAAAATCGTGCGAAACAAAAGTACGCGAGGACAAGAACAGGAGTAGACAGTCGTGGTTAGGGGGGAGGGGGGGGGAGGGGTAGAAAGATCCTAGCTAGGAAAGCTAGGAAATTTTGTCAAACATGACATGAATACGATTGAATCGTGGATTATCATCATTATTATAATTTTTGTTTTGCAAAAACAGGTAGAGAGGAGGTGTTCAAGATAGGCCGACCAGGGGACGAAGAACTTCTCAGCCTGGCCTGTGATATCGTGTCAACCTGGAGATCACTTGATTTGATTATAGGCCCAAGAAAAATTGACAGTTCTCGTCTTAGAATGATTACCAACGCATATGTCAAGCTAAAAGAGTGGAAGAGGTCGCTTGGATCTAGGGCGAGTTATTTAGCATTAGCTCGGATGCTAGATACCACACTTGTGAATATGAATGACTTGGTGGAGACATACTGTCATGACGAAGGTAAGTAACTCAAACTAAAAGAGCAACCGTGCTTTATTAAATTTTTCCTCAGCCTTCCTTGATCGCTGATGCGAAACCAAAGTGAACATGATAGGCGAATCGAATTCGATCACAAGCCGCTGGTCATTAAAAGAGCCCGCGCTCTGCTGATCTGGGGGAAACAGCGGAAATCGGGCCTTCCGTCTCGGCCTTAGCCAGAAATCGTTACCGAGAGAATCAGAAAACTGCAGAGAAGAATTTGCAAATCGCTCAATCACACATTCGAGTAGTTAATTGAACTGAGATTTTACATTTCAATGTAGTTTAACTTCCGCTTTTTATTAGAAGTGTTAATTTATCTTCCGAGATTGATCAGATCCGTGGAATACACAAACCATTTTATTCTTGCTGTCTCACCAATTTCCTCATTTTTGCCGAATGAACCGTCGAAAATAAAGAGTAAAACGATGACATCATGCAAAGAACTGCACGACATGCCCCTGACATTTTAATAACGTTTCCAGTCAAGAGAAGGCTCCAGTTTGCGTCTCTCTTGCTGAATTAATTGCTACTTTCTGTTGGCTTTTAGAAATAAATTGAACTTTTCACTTGTTTTGTCTTCGGATTTCAAAGTTTCAAGTTGAACATTCCCCCTCCTCTCCCCTTCGATGTATTATTTTCGAAATAGACGGCTCAAAAATGTATGGAGGTGGGGGTAGCGAACCATAAGTAAGAGAAAGAAAATGTTGCTTGGGAAATTCGTGCAAAACTAAAGTACGCTTAGCTATACATGTGCCATTCATTGAGGCGAGAGGACAAAAAACAGGAGGAGACAGTCGTGGGAGGGTAGAAAGATCCTAACCAGGAAATTTTTACAAACGTGACATATGAATACGATTGAATAAAGGATGATCATCACTGTTAAAATTTTTGTTTTGCAAAAACAGGCAGAAAGAAGGTGTTCAAGAGAGACTCACCAACGAACAAAGAACTTCGCAGCCTGGCCCATGATATTGTGTCAACCTGGAGATCACTTGGTGTGGTCATGGGCCTAAAAGCTCTGACTTTGGCGGAAATCGACGTAGCTTATCCTAAAGTGTCGGATAAAACGTATGCCATGCTAACGAAGTGGAAGGAGTCGCTTAGATCTGGCGCGAGTTATGTAGCATTAGGTGAGGTGCTAGATAACGCATTTATCAAAAGGCACGACTTGGTAGAGAGATTCTGTCATGACGAAGGTAAGTAACTCAAACTAAAAGAGCAATCATGCTTTTTTTTCTTTTTTCCCTCAGCCTTCCTTGGTCGCTTATGCGAAACCAAAGTGAACATGAGAGGCAAATCAAGCTCGATCACCAGCCGCTGGTCATGAAAATGAGCCTGCGCTTTGCGGATCTGAGAAAACAGCGTAAATCGAGCCTTCCGTCTCCCGAGTTCGGCTCATTGTTGTTTCATTCCCTATGAGAGACGATTTTCTTCGGGAAAAGGCGCGTGAGGTTAAATCCCAAGTAGGGTCTGCTCGCCTTGCTTTCAAGTAGTTCAGTCTGCGTCAAACACACAGCGGTTGCAGGTCGGTCTAACGGGCAAGTGTAATTTGCTAAATTGTGGCCAATCACGTGTCAAATTCCCGTTGAATATAAATGAAAGTATAACTGAAACCCGGTGCCACTCATTCAAAGCTAATACTTAGTTAAGGACGCGATTAAGGGAGAGAGAAAAAAGGCTAATTCTGTATACCTTTCCGTTTATAGTCCCATCACAGGCAGACCATACTATGTGTTCGTGGTTAATAATTGTTGACATGAAACGAACAAAATCTATAAGGTTATGAAAACTCTCTGAAAGTTGCATATCTTCATCGCTTTTTGGTCTGAATGTCTTTATTAAGTTAAGCAAAATTACACTTCTCTTAACGGCCTCCGGCAAAGGTAATTTCATAAGACGCTTCAAAGGGCCCATGAAGGCGAAAAAATACCAAAAATGAGTTGATTAACATTTCATAAAATTTTATTGAGATATTCAACCCGAGATTTAATTTGGTGTAATAATATCCACAGTATTTAATAATTTTATGAAATAATATCCACAGCTTTATTCATAACCCTTATAAATTTTGTTCGTCTCATGTCAACAATTATCAACCACGAAAACATAGTGTGGTCTACCTGTGGTCCCATGAGAATGAAGTTTCTCTCCCAGACCCTAGAAAACAGCATAATAACCCGACCAAGGCTTGATCGAAATCTCGATAGACCCGAAACCTTTTGATTCAGTTCTATCGAGATTTCTTGCTAAGCTTACTTTCGTAACGGAGTATTTGGAAGATATACTTCCACTTTTTTCTTTTCTCTCTCATAGCCGTTGAGATAAGATTGGATCGCCGAAGATGATGCCAATCTTCAGGAAGGTAACGTATTCCCTTAGTAAATGTACTAGAAGTTTACGGAAATTAAGAGGACATGTTATATGGTATTAACTCTTTACACCTATCATCAATATCAGCATTCTTACCTATACAATTATTTTGCTGCTCACAAGGAGTAGCTTCTCAAGTTGGCGATCATTACCGTTATTCCCCTGATCAGTAATGAATGATTCAGAGCGGTGTTGCTTGTAAGGAGAAATTAGATGCTGGTCACTCTAAAGGTCAACGAACGTTTTATCGAGTTGAGACAGAACGTACCAAGCTCCATAGTCATTGGTTTATACATGAAAGGTCCGTACGGTTGTGGCCAGACACAATTAGCAAGAAAGGTTTGGTGAATATGAAAGCGACCTTCGCAATGAACACTATTTAAAGAGTAGTGAAAAGAAGGCCTGAAAAAAATTCAGGCCTGTACGGGATTTGAACCCATGACTTCTGTGATACCGGTGCAGTGCTCTACTAACTGAGCTAACAAGCCAACTCCCAGTTGGCTTCTTACAGGCCAGAACTTTTTTCAGTAGTGTTTAAGTAGTGTTCATAACTGCGAATATCGCTTTCATATTCACGTCTTTAACCGCAGTTCAAATATATGACTTTCATATATACACAGCCGTTTATTCACCACTTTACGGGTTTATTTGGAACCAACACAGTGACCAGCTCCCAGTTTGCTTGTTAGCTCAGTTGGTTTAACCGCAGTTCAAACATATGACTTTTATATGTTCGCAGCCGTTTAGGACAGGTTGGAGAAGAGTTTATACAGAACAATGTACCGGGGGAACGTTTTGCAAATCTGCCTTGTGTCGTCGCTACGTTTCAAGCGCAAAATCCTGAGTCAATACCAGAATTATTCAAAGGATAACACGAGAAGTTAGAGATCCCTAACGAACGCGAATATCAAGGAAGTGTCCGCGTATAGGACATAATTCAGAAAGTAGAACGTATATTATTAGACATACTTTTGATGTTCTTTTTTAAATGTAATCATCTTGTTAAATGCAACCATCTTTGGTAGAAGAAAGTTATAAACTCTATGCTTGGACGAAGTGAACACTTGTGCGCATGCACGTACAGGTCTAGCAGTGAACTTTGTAGCGTTTGAAAAGTTTTCATGGCTTTTGTTAAACACCTGCCGTTAAAGTTTTTAAAGAAGTTTTTTCAATTCAATTTTGCAATAAAACGGTACAAGGAAATTCACAAATGCTCAACTACTTTGAAATATCACAAGAATAGAGAATCGAAGAATCGAGCACACTGAGTCTTTTATAACTTTTCGTAAATATTTTAATAAAAAGTACGCTTGTGCATGCGTAAATATGGTAACTACACTTCTGAAGGTTACGATAAACAGGCTAACTTTGCATGGCAAACTTCGTCATCAGGCGAGCTCCCTTATGATCTGGTATCTAAGACTAAAGAGCTTTCTGAACATTACTGTAAGTTTACTTTTCCCTTTATGACTACATTAGTTTTGCATCCGGTGCTTAACCAACGACGCGGCGCGCTTGTGTGCGGATATAAGTACCTCAAAGTCGCCTTTTTGTACGCCAATCAACTATCATCCTTTTACAGGAAGTAAAATCATTTCCAATCAGCCTCTGAGCAAGAGCGAAGGGCGTCAGCAATTCGCGTTAATGTAGGAACAAAAGAAGAAAAAACTCGCGGAAATAAGAATTTTAATGGACTTCATCGACAGGGATCAGCTGAAATATAGATTTGATCTTCTTGGCTAAGAAAGCAGGTCAACACAGCACAAGTTTGCGTAAATGTGATTAGTTGAAAATTGATTTAATCTGCCTGAGTAGAAAACACTCTGTTCTTTATACGAAATTAACAAAGTGTCTGGTATGTTGAAACAAATAAATTCGCATGCAGTAAGTGCTGTGTAGGAGTTATCACTGTTCGTCCGTTAATGAGCAAATCTCTTTTCCCTCCCACATCGGTAAAATCACAATTTCAGGTTCGTCCTCTTCATGTTCGCTTAAAATCTCCTTCTCTTTCCATACGTACTTTCCAATCTGCTCGCAACCCGAGTCGAAAACGTACCTCCCACGGCCTCTTGGCTTGTTTTCCTCAAAATCACCTACATATCTGTGGTTTGAGTGAATGAGTTGACCTTCATCGTGCATTTTGCCTTGGAACCATCTCCCATCGTAACGCGAGCCGGTTGCTTTGTACGTATAAACTCCCTGGCCGTGTCTACGCCCCTGTATCCATTCCCCTTCGTAGGTGTCTCCGTTGGGGTAAGTGTAAGTACCAAAGCCGCTTCGTAAATCGTTGATCCAGGACCCTTCATACTTGGAACCATCTGGATATAAGAACACGCCGTCACCATTTTTCTTGCCCTCTATGTAGTAACCAACGTAGCGCGCTCCATTTTTGAATCTTAAAGAAGGAAATATTTTGGTTTTAATCTCGGTAAATGTTGCTGCCGATTAGACTCAGGTTGTAAGAGGAGGCTTTTGAGTAAAGAAGGTTCTGACTTGGAACGAGTTTTTTATTACCTCTACCCCTGTCTTAGAGGGATGTTGTGATTATTCTGAGCAGATTTTTTTTTTGTTACGTACAGAGGAAATAAATTTCTGTACATCAATTTTTTTTTAGATTTCCATTGCAAAATCTATAGTCTTGCAGGTCTTGTTGCGGTGGCGTTAGCTCCTTACAGTTCCTAGAATTTGAACTCAGTCCTCTCCAAAGCGGTTCATCTGTAGTTTACTAATAGGTAGAAAACATTTCTTCAGAAATAAGGGGGGGGGGGGGGGCGGAAGGGGAGGGGGAGGGTGATGGTAATATCATAACACCTTGTTTCATGGTACGTGCAGTGAAGTACATACTTCTCTTTATGACGAGAGGATTTCTTTAGTTGTTAAAAAATAGAGAATATGTCAGAAATAAATGGCCACTGCATTCTCTGATTAGAATTTTAATTGAAAATTAAGCACTTTTATGGCAGAGAGGATTTAGCTGATATAAATACCTTATTCAAGAAGAGTCTTCACCACGACTTTTAAGATAAGAATTTTTCACGGCGTGACCTTTTGCGCATGACTGAACACGGCTTTGCGTGAAAGTGTTAAAAAATTGAATTAATAAACCAAGCGGGCTTAACTTTCGAAACATCGCCATTTCGCTACGATCACCTGTCTAGCGTCAAAAAGCTACGTCTAATAACACTTATATCTCCTCCTTTCTGGCCAGAATTCCGCATTGTTATAAACAAGCGGCAGGAGAAAACCACGGGACATCAGTAAAGACCAAACGTGAACTGAATGGATGAATGAGCAAAGCGACTGATATAGTCACGATACACTATTCACCAAGTCAACATTTGAGAGGTCATTATAAACATTAGCTCGAATGTGTCAATAGTAGCACAACTACTGAGTTGGGCAAATGCGGAAAGAGAAAGCATACTACCACAGCCGTGGTTATAGTCGAACGTGCCCTAGTACTCGAATACTAATGCCCTTGGCCTTCATTGAAACGCGCCTTTGTCAAAGCATCGTAAGATGTTAATTTGTTGCCACGCAAATATCTTCGCTAAACAATAAACAATCGCTTTTATTTCATGTAGCAAAGTCAATGTTAATTTGTTGCCGCGCAAATATCTTCGCTAAACAATAAACAATCGCTTTTATTTCATGCATCAAAGTCAATGCTGGCAGAGATCGTTGAGACCATGCAAGGAATTTTTCAACTCCGATGGCAGAACGGAAGTTTAATCGACTTGAAGCGAATTATGTTTTTACTAAGAAAGGCCAAACACACCCGATGGGTTCTGAAAAAAAAAACCGCGATGTCAAATCATGATTGCTTGATGCAAAATAAGACTTAAATCTTCACCTGTAGGTTCCTTTCCCGTGCCGCTTGCCATTTTCATAATATCCCTCGTAGGTATCACCGTTGGGAAGCTTCGCTCGCCCAAAACCATGTCGTTCATCCAGTTCGTTTCTTTCACCATCGTATTCTCCTAAATATGGCAGACCATCGTCATCTGGAATGGTTTCCTCATCAGACGACATCTTTATGCGGGCAAACTTCGTTAACACTCAACTTTAAGCGCAAACCTCCGAGGTTCGAAATGGCCGTAGCCGTAAATATAATGTTGATTTCTAACGATTCCGTCTCCAAGAGATACAAATGCCTGATCAGCCACAACATTTTAACCTCAGGGTATTAAGTTACAAATTCATGGGGTGTCCAAATTCCTAGACCGTGACAGAAATTTTTCGCGACATCGGTCGAGAAAAATGGCTTGAAACCTGGCTAGAAACAGTTGCTTGCAAATATGGGGGAAATATGGAAATTCTCATGCATAATTTGAATGTAACAAACCACATGCATATGTTTCATTTGACATCTTGCCGAACGATATGAGGGAACTTGAACGCAATTACCTCTACTAATTGCATTCTCAGAGTACGTCTCATCTCTTGAAGTTTTCTGTGAAATCGTTGACTCAGGTTTTTTCCTTAATCTACTGGCTAGTTTACTTAAAAATTGCTCAGAAAAAGCAAAAGTTGCTCGTGGTTGATAAAACCGCCAAAAGGTGTTCAAAAGTTGCCGAGCACCGTCGCGTCGGGATAGGCCTCAGCACAGTGTTGTAATTATGGGCTTTAAATGCACGAAATTATTCAGTGAATTTTTTTTTTTTCTTTATTCACAATTTTCCATTTATGGCTTACTCTAATAAGATGTCAGGAGCCATTAATGGCTCCCGAAGATGTCTTTGTGAAGCCATTTTTTTCTCGAAAAAAACGAAGGCAATGTTTAAAGGAGGATAGAATATTAAAGATGTTTCGAACATTTGAAACAGGATGTTCACAAAGAATTATCTTTACCTAATGAATTACGGAAAAGAGAGAGAGAAAGTCGTGAAACAGAAATTTAGTTATACTTTGTTAAAATTTTCTTGACGGACAAAACTGCCGCATCCCCACCCTGAGAGTCAGTCTACATCTCGTTCCAGTCTTTTCGCCATTCCAATTCAATATGGCGGAATCGGCAGAAGAGGAGATCGATGTCGAAGGTATTTCCGATTGTCAGCAAGTATCAAATTTAAAAGACTTGGCTGACGACGATCACAAAGATAAGTGGTACGAAAACTATGATATAATAATATGTTTTACAATAACTCTTTTTAACATGTCTTACATTGATTAGTGATAAAAATTGAGCCATGTTAAATCGAAGGTAGGAGATGGTCATTTTAAACTGTTTGTTTATACATAACGTAGGCTTTGAATTTAAATATTGACTTATTATTTTTTAGGTATGATAAGGACGCCAGCAATCAGAATTTTTTTAATCCCTCTGGAAGCTCATTCTCGTCGGAATATTGCGATCCTAATTCATGGCTTTTAGACACAAATTCGGTGAGAAGTTTACATTTTGTGTGTTAATGTGTTATTTGATGTAAACAAGATTGACAGTGTTAAAACCATTAACCATAATCCAATGAAATATTTCCAAACCATGAACAGATGAAATATTGACATTTTGGGGAAATCATTCGCTGAAGCTTTAGGTCATGTTTGAAATTTTTACTGATTTGAAGAGTCAGGCATCTTTTCCAAAACAGCTATTGTTTATATCACAAACCTCGAGTGTATATTTTAAAGCTCGCGTACGCAACATAAAATGAACGCGATGAAAAAAAAAAAAAAAAAAAAAAACAGTGTACGAATACCTTAAAAAGTTCAGTCTGAATTTTCTAATGTGATTCTTTTGTTTATGACAGAATTAGAATTATTTAAAATCAGAATTATATTAAATCGGGGTTGCATCTAATATTATTAGCTCCTTACTTTGACTTATAATCGTTAACATTGAACAGGTTTGGTCCTTGGATCCTTGCACTGATGACAAGAGTCGTTCAGCTATTGAGAAAATGATTCTAGAAGAACAGTATCCTTACTATATGTGTTAAAAAATCTAAAGTCATTGTACCAGATTTTTGAGATATGAGTTCAACTGAACCCTTTCATACCAGAGGTGATTAACTGGAAGTTTCTCCTAAGTTCAAAATTATCCAACAGACAGGTAATGAGTCAGAATAACCCAAACCTTTTCAATTAGAGGTTGTTTCCTTGATCACACATGAACTTCTCTCTACTAATATACAGGGAAACATATAGCTGATAGTACAGAGAATCATGGAAAAGATCTTGGATTAAGTGCAAGAATCAACCCTTTAATATCATTATGCATATTCTCCATACTGATCTCTACACATTTCGTAAGATGCTGACAAGGAGAGTTTGTGTAATAATCAAGAGGTTCTTTAGTCAGGGATCATTACTTTCATTCTCATGAACTTAATGTGTGATTCAGGGGTGATTTTGTGTGGATAAATTAGATGCTGGTCACCCTTAGGGGTTGAAGGGTTAGGAGACTGGAGATATTTAAGTGTTGTTTTTGTCGTATAGGCTTCAATTTTTTAGAAGTGAAGTAAAAAAAACTTAGAGGTCGTAGTGTGTATTGTGTATAATTTATTTAACCAGAAACAACACAAACTATCTTCATTTCAGTTCCTTTTCCAAGAATGCAGACTTTTAACATCAACAAAATAAATTTTATTTTTATATATCTCCTTTTCATGAACAGTGTTGCTCCTTAACTTGAATTGTAGAATGTATGCTTACAGGTCAACACCAATCAAACTGGACAAAACACCAACAGGTAAGACATGCGATTAGTTTTATTACTGAATTATAATCTTTTGATTTTAAACAGGCACAGAATTTCAAAATGTTCTGCAAAATTCTGGGGGTTTTGGTTGAGGTTGGGGCATGGACACTGATTTTGAATTTAGTTTGGTTTTATTGTTTTGTTTGTTTGTTTGTGTGTTTGTTTTTATAGCAGTAACCATATTAATGTACTGCATTTAATTTTGCAGGGGAGAAGAAAAGACAAACTTGTGTTGGAAGGTATAACATATATTTGATTATTTACCTTGATAAAACATATCGATTGCCACCAGGTTGTGGTATTTACTTTTATAGGCCTCCTTACTTATTCACCTCTGGTTCACCAAAAAAACATTAATCTATTCTTACACTAGTTATAGTGAACCAACTGCTTTATATGTACTTTCTTGTATGTAGAAATTTAACCCTATCATCCCAGATCTGATAAGAAATTAATGCCATACTGCCTACACAAAAGCCAAAAGGTCACAAATGTTTATTGCCTTTTGTCACAATGTACTACTCTGCTGTTAAAAATTAAAAAATATATATATTGATGGAACATTGGAGTCTGATACACAATCAGCCCTTACTGAAAAAAATTTTTTACAGATCGTCTATCACAAAAAGGGAAAATCCCTTAACCCTGTAACTCCCAAGATCTCATTAGTAATTCTCCTTACTGTCTGCTATAGAATTCATATAATGTTAGATTAGAGAATTTGGAATTGGATCAACTAATAATCCCCCAATTTATATTTTTTTAATTCTCATTACTTGTCTACTTGATATTGTACTGATAGTGTAGGGAGAAATTCTGTCTTGGTCACTAGTGGGACTTAAAGGGTTAAAGACATGCTGGTGAGAGCAAAACTAAGGCGTTGATGTGACGTGACCACAAAAACCACATGGAGAGTCCATGCTGGTCTGTGTTTACCTTTATTCTCAATTTTTATGTTGTTACTTCAAAGATTTCAGTATTTAATCAACTTATAATCCCATAATTGACATTGTTCTTTATTCTCATCACTTGTCTGCGTGATATTGTATTGATATTGTAAGGAGAAATTCTGTCTTGATCACTCATGGGAGTTAATGGGTTACAAAGTGATTCCAAAATTCAACTTGTGATAACTTTTTGAAGTAGATTGCAATTGAAATCAATAGATAATAATAATTATTTATAAACAATTTTTTTCTCTCCAAGGAATTCAAATTCAAATGCGAAGAAGGGCATCACCAAGTTGAACCCCAAAAGGTAAAAAATATAAAATTTACGGACAATGCCATGTGTCAAAGTTATTTCAAAAAAGCTTTAACTAGGATATCTTGATTTACCTGTAACAAATTGATGAAACCTTTCGTCTTGATGTGTTTCAAAATTTTTTGAAATTCATTTTACAAATATTTTGGTCTTGTACTAAAACTGTGCGGACATAAATCAGCTTTTTGGACGGAGGAATTTTAGAAACCAAAAAATTTTCTCTGAACCTCCTGATTCTTGAATGGTTAAAGCATTATGCCATCCACATAAGCAATGCTCTACCTTTTTTGAAAATTGTATTGTTGTAGGGAACAACCTTCTGCAACTCACAGAAAACCTTGGACAATTGAGGAACAAGAACTCTTTGAACAAGGATTGGTAAGTTTACTCAAGAATCAAAATCAATTCTTTATTCACAGTAGGTTAAAAATTGAAAAGAGTAGAGCTGGTGTGGACCTACATGGACTTAATACAACAGTACTCCATTTATAAACATTTGTAAATTTAAATTATAGTAAATAGATATCTTTAATAAATATAATCTTGGTGTTATTCAGAGATAATTGAGGCTTCTTTCTGAAATGACATATTGACCATGTAAATTGTCAAAACTTGATCAGTTGTTCTCCTTTTAGTTTAGAGAATTTGGTTTTTTATCAAGGTACACTGTCACACCTCTTGTTAATTATTGTAATCGCCTTTAAGTCATCTTCCCTTGGTTTTTTTCATACTTCTGTCGTGTTTGCCCACACTCATAAAGTGTTGTGTTGAGGTAAGGTTTTGGAATTTGAAGCGCCACATCTTTGAAAATCATGTCAGCCCTTCAACTCCAATGAGTGACCAGAACAGAATTTCTCCTTACTATATCTATACAATATCATTCAGACAAGTGATGAGAATAAAGAAAAATATCATCATGGGATTACTAATTGATCCAATACCAAATTCTCCAAAATAACGGAATGAGAATCATTTGGCAGACAGTAAGGAGAACTACTAATGAGATCTTGGGAGTTACAGGGTTAAGTGATGTGCTGTGTATGTGTCCAAGTGCTTTATCTAGAATACAATCTTCGTTGTCGATAAAAAA